GCCTTCTGCTACTCTGGATTCAATCTAGTGCATATTTTTAAATTTATCTGGACCTAACAACATGTCAACCCAGTGCACTAAGATTACTGCTGGAGTCCTTTGCTGGAGTAGTCTTTCTTCTTGCTTAAAAATTGGCAGAGTTTTACGAATCGTTGTTGAAGCCGGGCTGAAGATGATTCTATTTGCTTCTCAACTATTTTTAGTATGAGGTCTCTATCTAAATCCTCTTAGTTTCTGAAGGCACTTCTGAATATGACTAGCATATGGGTTAGAAGAAAGACCTGTAACAAAAAGCTTCTTCCCCCTCCACCTCTCTTCCCTCCCAGTTTTCCAGAGTTCAAACAGACTACCAAGAAAAGGGACAGCAAAGCTGGAAAGCAAGAGAAAACACTGTGTCCCAAGCATGATTTTTAAAGAAGGGAGGTATGAAATCCCAACACCTAAGCGCTTGTAACAAAACACTTGTGGGAACTGCATAGGTGATAGGCTCTACAAGTATTCCAGACAGCATTAATAGAATGAGAGGAGAGTAATCTCACGCCTGTTCTTCAGGCAAATGTTCTTGATGCTTTCAAATCACCTTTGAAAGTAAGGCTTGTTTCAGTAGCAGGATGGCACGCCGAGAAAAGCCCTTTGAAGTGTAGTTCAGACTCTTTGCATGTATTTGTAAGATAGTGTTTGGAAGATGGAAGGCTTTCATGCTTAAGAGACTGTACAAACTTTGTGAAATACACACTGTGGAGAAAAGCACTTCCCTGCAAGCACCATCTTGCAGGGAGAAACCCAAGTCCTGGCACGGGATTTGAGGCTTTAAAGTCTGGGGTGAATGAGTCTTACACCTAGCAATCAAGAAGCACAAACAACTTGGGCTATTAAAAGCATGGCATTTATATCTCTAGCATTATGAATTATTCAACCTTTAAACATGCTTTACAAGGGATTCAGCAGGAGCAAAACACAGCACTAAATCAATTTTATCTGGAATAGTGTGGAAGAAGGGAGAGCTCCTTTCCTATTTTGAGAGCAACATCTATGCTACACATGCAGAGCCAAAGCCTTCTAATACAGCAGGCTGAATACATATTAGTTATTCAAACTCAAGAACGTGTGCATAAAAGGAATTTCATACAATTAGTCCCCGTTGTCCTCCTCAGTTTATGCTCTCTGTAAAGTTCTCATTCCAGTGTTGCTACACTGAGACTCATTTTTTTGCCTCCCACAATGCCTTCAGTAATGTAAAAAACATCAGACAAGCAGGCATGGATGTCTAAAAAGAGACTATCTGTACAAGTCACTGATCTATCATTTAGTCAACAGGCTCAATTCATAGGTTACTATAGCAAAGCAAAATCAAGTCAAGCACAATGAAAATGGGTAACGCTATTTCACTCCCAATGTTACAAAATGTGTCAGTTTTCTGCCAAACTACTGTAATGGAACACAGTTATGATTTTATGAAGAATTTTTTTCACGTAATTTTAGCCAACTATCACTCCGGCTAGCATGTAAAAAGATCTTAAGGAGAAAAAATTAAATTTATTCTCAGCTAATGAAAGCCTCTGCACACCTCTACTTTTGTATCTTTATTTGCTAAACAAATGATAAAAGTTTATATCTTCAGCTTGAAACCAAACAACAGCGAAACGTACCTGAGGAGGCACAGTTTACAAGAAACAGCATGAAAAATCATACTACACAGGGAAAAAGTTCCAAGAACACACTTAAAGAAAAGCTGTATAAGTTACTGGCAATGTATATGTCCTACTTTAACCAAGAAAGAGCACAGATAACTGAATTCCCCTTTAAAGAACCTTGTTTCAGGAGTTCCTTTCATACATGTTACAGTGAAAACACAGAAAAACAGCACCATGGGAGCTTGGGAAGGTCCTTGCTGAATCTCCACAGCCTCACCAGAAACCTCCCTTCATTGAAAAAACACTCTTTCCCCTCTTTCCTAGCTTGGCCAATTATTAATTTTGGTTGGTTTTTTTTTTTTTTCAGCTGCTGGAGCATTTCATAGGGACATGACATGGAAAGCTGCCAGCCTTCCCAGAGCCAATTCCGAGTAGGTCAGTCTTGGCTCAGCAGCAGACCACATAGCGAAGCAAAAGGAAACACAAGGCCTTGAACTCACGCCCATCTTCCCTCTCATCCTCCATAAACACATCCTAGATGCAGATTTTCTTTGACTGGTGAGGAATTCACTGGTGGCCAACATCATCTCCACTGGAGACCACGATAGCAGCCAACAGGCCCCATCCATAAGCAGACCAAGAACTGCTTCTATGTAAACCTAGAAGTTAAAATTCCAAACTTTACCATTAATGTGTATTTTTGGCTTCCTTCACGTGTTATAGGAAGTTCCAGAGTAACTATAATAGGGATTTGCTATTTGGAGCTGACAAGCTCCAAATAATACCAATCTAAAGAGAACTGGAGACACGAAGTGACTTGTTGCCACGAATATCTTCAGACAGCAGGCACACTGCAGTAGCACAGGGCATCTCAGCCTCCTACCTTGCTCCTGAGCTGGTCTGCTCTCAATTAGCTTTGGTATCAGGGTGGGGATACTACTACAGTAGTGATAAAACCCTGAGGACACGGTCCCCCAAGCAGCAACCACGAAGCAGCCTGAAGTTACAGTGTTCACTTTATCTTCATGCAAACGACTCCTGATCTTCAGTTAGTTGCTAGCTTTAGTCCAGGACAACATCTTGATGCACATCACCAGGCCAGCCATCACCTATGGCTTTTGATTTGTGCAGAAAGTAGAGGCCATATATGCAACTGACAGCCCTAAAGAATGATACATTACTCTTTGTTTATAAGATGGATACCAAAGAAACCAGAGAAATATTAGTGATATTGATATGATACGTAAATACTGATATTTAAAACATTCTACAGAAACCCCATGTCACAACACTAGTTCTGGAAGCAATCCCTAAAGAATTGTAGGGAAAGTGAATGTACTATTTAGCACATTAGGGACATGCTTACTTTTCTACTACCCAGAAAAACAGCGTCTGGATAATTCTTCTTAAATAATCATGGACATACCATTACACAGCCAAGCACAAAATAGTGCAACATTGCAAGAAGCATTTAGTAATTATCATAAAAACAAATCCATAGGGGCAGATTCACTGGAGTCGCAGGCCAAACCCACGTTTCTTTCTAGGGGTGAAAAAAAAGTGGAAAAGAAAAAGGAAGGGATGTGTCAATCCTTCCACACCTCATCCTTTGACAGTAACTACTCTATGCCATCTGGCTATTAAGGACTGTCAGCACTTGAAGAATATCTATAATGCTTTTCTGACTGCTGTTATAGGAAAGGAAAAAGAAAAGAAAAAAAGCAGTAGAAAATTCAACAGACATAATGTAAGGTGAAAGCTACCATCCTGCCTCGTTTTTTTTGAGAGGGGAAAAAATGCTGTGCTTATTGTATATCTTAGAAAAATCGTATTTTGAAAACAGTGAAAATTGGTGAATAGGCCCAAGGGTTAAGGCGTCAAATTTTAAAAAGACAGGTGACTGAGCAAAGCCCTCACCCTGCACACATCTCTTACTGCCCAACGCACTGGAGCAGAGCTCACCTGCAGATTAATGCAAGTAACAGAAATCAAGGGCTAATCTGTCTATTTGGCATTTCTTATGAAGGTCTAGAACAGAGCCTGAATTTAGCCTTTGAGCACTTCGTAAGGCCTACATGAATCACTAACCTGATAAGCAGAAGAGTGACTGAGCCATCTCATCATCCAGTTTCTACTAACTCTGTATGACTTCACTCACCCTATGAGTACAGCAGCACAGCTTCTGCCAATATCGTTCCTATGGGCAGTTGAAGCTATTCTAGCTAAAAGCAAATATCCTTGCCAGAGTAGCTGCCTCCGCTGAAAGAAGAGCATGCATTTCACAGAAACAAGCATAACTGAGCTCACTGTCTTCCACAGAAGTTTTTCTGGTGTGATTTTGTTTCATTATATCTGCTTAGGTAGCTAACAAAAACACACCTACTGGAGCAGGGAAATATTTATATATCTTTATACAACACGTTGCATTTTTAAATGCTTGGTTTGGTTTTCTGGACCTTTCCACATGTATTAAACCATAAAGCATTTTGAAGCTATCACGTCTAGCGCAGGAACTAACACCTTCTCTGCTGTTTTTACTTATTTGCTTGTTTAAAAAGGGACTTTTAAATTGTGTATTGAAACTTACTGTGACGAGCATAATGACCAGAATTTTCACACCTCAGATATTATTTATAGATTCCATCCTCAGAATATTAATAAGCATACTCAGTAAACACAGGACTGACTTGTGAATATCACTATTCTTTGTATCTTTTGTCATTAAAAATGAAAGCTAAAAATACACATACACCTCCCTGTTGCATACTTGCTCCACATTTGAGCAGAAACTCCCAGACAACCAACATAAACAACTGTGATGAATGCTTCAATCTCCAATGGGCCGTGGGATGAACACCATAAAAAGAAATTAAGACTTACTATTTTTCCACCTCCCCTCAAAACACAAGAGTCTAAACCAACTCCTGTTTAGTCAGTTGTGACTTCGCAAACTCTGTATCTACCAAACCACACGCTGCCAGGAATAGCACAAATCTCAAAGCAAGGATTACAAAATCATTTGGGGGGTTTGGTTGGGGTTTTTTCTTCTAAGACCCCAACACACACCCCTGCAAAGAGGAACAGTTTCATACACTTTTAGTTTTCAAAACCAGCATGGATCTGTGTATTCTGCTGGGTATACACCAAATGTTTGAACCAAAAAAGTTAGTCAGACAATACAGCTCGCTTGACCACACTCTTTATTTGAAGGAAAACCAAAGAGATCGATTTTCTATTCCAACCAGCTGAAACGACGATTAAAGAAAGTAAAATCTCCTGGCTTTTCTTTTCTTAAAAAAAAAAAAACAACACAACAAAAAAATCAAGAAAACAAAAACCACCCCAGCTTCTCATCTGTCAACTAACCAAATGGCTTTTGGCCGCTGAAAAATCCTGCCATTGGTCAGACTTTGCAACAGGCACATCCCATACACCTGGTTCGGCAGGCACCGATGCGCGCTCAGCCCCGCATCCCGCCGCCTTCTCGGGCTGGGGGGGGAAACAAAGCTGGGACCGGGGATCTGTCACAGGCCGCGTCCCGGCGCCAGCCGCCGAGCTGGAAGCCGAGGCGAGCGCGATGCCAGGTTAACAATTTGCAATTTGCCTCGCTCCTGGACGCCGCGGCAGCCCTCCATTTTGTCAGCTGCCTCAATTTTAAACGTTTTCCAAGTTCGAGAGGCAGAACTTCAACATTTCTTCGGGAGCCCTCCGGGGCTTTAAAAGCATCCCCGACCATTTTAAGCGGCGGAGAGCCCGCTCGGAGCCAGCGCTCTTGGCTAAGTTTAGCAAGGCAGCCGCGCACGCCGCGCCGCATCGGCAGCCCCCCGAACCCTCTGCGGGGCAGCCGGCGGGCTCCTACCCATCCTTCTTCCAGCCGCGGCTGCCTCCGGCCCGGGCACGAACAGCGCCCGGCTTCCTCCTCTCACGAGGAGAGAGGCAGGTGGATGTCGGGAGAGGGAAAAGGAAGGGACGGGGAGACAGGAGCGGCCGCGGGCAGCAGGGGGCCGGGTGCCGGCAGCAGGTAGGGGGAGCGCGGGGCGGCCGCCAGTGCCGTGCCTGTGCCGTACCCCCTCCCTCTCAGCCCCGTTCTTACCACCTGCGGAAGCGGCCGGAGCCTGCCCGGGCCAGAGCAGCGACCTGTCCACTGCGGGCGCTCTCCTCCGGAGGTGAGGGGGCGGCGGGGAAGGGCATGCGGGAGGAGGGAGGGAGGGAGGGCTCCCACCGCCCGCCTCTCCCTCACCTCCCTCCCCCTCCTCCTCCTCCTCCTCCTCCTCCTCCTTCTCCCCGCCCAGCCCGGCCCGGCCGTGCCCGGCCCCCCCCGCGCCCCTCGCTCCCCCTTCCCGACTTGGCTTCCACGGGGCGGCCCCGGAGCGCGGGTCCGTGCGCTGCTCCCGGGCACTTACTGTGTCACCCTCTGCCTGTCTGTCTGTCTGTCCCCTCGGCAGGGATAAAACTAATTGCCACCAGCCTTGCGGCTACCGCCCGAAACAACTTTTGTCTCCTTCCAGTCTCTAGGAAAGCTCTTCTTTTTTCCTTCTTCTTCAATAAGAAAAAAGAAAAAAAATCAAAAACCAACCAAACCCCAACAATTTTAAAATTAAAAAAGAACAGAAAAAATATATATATTCGGCTCTTTTTTTAAGAGTGGGAAGCGTGAAGGTGGGAGGGGAGAGGACCAGAAAAAGGAAACATTTGGAGCCTTGGAGCTCTTTTTTTCCTCTTTCCTTCTCCTTCCCCCACCCCCCACCAAGATGGCTTGAAAAAATTAAAAGGGGACAGCGATGAGGGGGGGACACACACACTGAAAAGCCAGAGAGGACGGAAAAAGTTTGGGGGTTAGGGGTTTTGTGTGTGTGTTTGGTCTTTTTGTTTGTTTATTTTAGTTTTTTTTAAAGCCTTCGGTTCCCATAATGACCCAAAGGACGACAAAGACACGGGAAGAGCAGGCACAAGGAGAGGAACGAACGAGAGAAAGAGTTTTGCTGGTCAGTAAACTTCAAGCTGCTGGGATGAGGTCATCGGTGTAAAAATAAAGCGATGGCGTCATTTGAAACCAATCCCAGTGAATGAACTCAGACGGGGGGGGGGGGGAAGGTGGAGGGAGAGGGTGAAGGAGAAAGAGGAGGAGCGGCGAGAGAGGATCCCCGCGGGGACGCGGAGGCAGCGGCGGCCGCGCAGCCCCGGCGCCGGGAGGCGATGGCCGCCCCAGCTGTCACCGAGGGGAACGCGCTGCCCCCGGGCCTCCCGCTGCAGCCCCCGGGCCGCCCCTGGGAGGAGCCGGGGCCGCCGAGCGATTCCACCGAGGCGATTCCACCGAGCTGCCCCCGCGGCGCGGGACGGGGAGGCGGCTCCGCGGCGCGGCCCTCGCTCCTTTGCCGGCCCCTCTCGGCAGCGGCCGCCCCGCCTCAGCGGCCCCTCCATCCCCGGGCCGGGGCGGCCGCGGTCCCGCTGCCCTCGGTGCCACCAGCCGAGGGGACAAGCGCCCCGGGTGGCTCCGTAAATATCGCTCTGGCCGCCGCCTTCTTCTGCCTTGTGACGCTGTGCGCACCGATGCTGAACCGATCGCACCGATGCTGAACTGTTACGGTGTTAAGGCGTGGGTTCCTCCAGTGGTGGTGTTATAGAATCGTATAATCACAGAGTGGTTCGGGGAAGGAAGGGGACCTTAAATGTCATCCGGTTCCCTTCACTTGATGTGGGCAGAGCACCCTGTGGGCCACGTGGAAGGTTCAGGGCCTTCGCCCTTTAAATAACCTTGTTAAATAAAAGGAATTAAAAATCTGCAGCCAATAACTTGAAAAAAAGCGAAAATGTGCGCAGATGCACGGAAGCTTTTTGTCTTAACACGTATCTGTTATGGCTAGTACCAACCTGAATTGGTGAGGGGTTGGATGGGTCCTATCTGTCTTACGCATCCCTCCTGCAGGTACACCAGAATATTCTGCAGTTCTCTTTCTTCCTCAGAGGCATCATCACTACAGGGAGCCTGCCAGCACTGCTGGGCGTGCAGGACATCTTGCACACCAAACTCCAGTCAGTCACCTCTGATGGCTTTTGAATCCCTGTGCCTGAAACCCTTGGAAGACAGCAGGAGAGAGAGAGAATTAACTGTGCGGGTCCTTTGTTCTTGGTGGGTATCTCTTCAAACAAAGTGCCTTCGGAGAGGCACACGACTATCACAGTAAAATGGTTTGTGCAGTTGGTGTTTCAGGAAGCAGGCAACTCAGAACAAATTATATGGTGGTGGTCTCTACCCTGGCAAAATTGACCAAGAACGACCTTGATGAAGGGCCTAGTGTTAAGGAGTTGTGAGCTGTCCCCTCATGAGGAAGCCTTGTTGGCACTCATACTGAACAGTCATGTCCTGTGCAATGGAGTGCAAAGCATGCAGGAGAGAGAGAGAAGCCCAAGCTCCATAAGACACAGACAAAAGATCAAAAGCAGTGAAGAAATTATGGTAAAGCAATTAACATCAGCCTGTTCACTATTTTGCACATGTCTGTCTTCTGGTAGCTGAAGAGCAGTTTTGCCTTTTTGCCTCAATTGACCAGCGGCCCTGAAGATGGCTTTCACACCCCCCCAAAGTGCCCACAGTATGAAAAATCTGCACAATTAACTGGAGGTTAAGAGAGCTAGAACTGACCCATTTTGATGAAGGGGATTGGAGAGCGTGCCAGAGAAACTGGAGGTAACAGCCAGTGCCCCAGCTTATTCAGATCAGAGAAGTGCAGGAACAAATAGTTCCAGCCCAGTTATCCTCACAAAGAGAAGTGGGGAGCAGTGGAGAGAGGTGTGTGGTGAGGAGGAAAGACATTTCAATTCTCCCTTCCCTTTTGTCATCTCAACTCGGTAACACCTTATGTAACTGATTTGTTTTTTGTGTTTTGTTTTTTTTAAAATCGTGGGACTGTCAAAGTTTCCTGACTGTAAAATTGTAAGAATAAGAAGTACTTGTGATCTTCTTGAAGTATTTTTCTTTTTAGCTGAAAAAAAAGGATATATACAGAAAAGTCTGTACTAGAACAACAAGTTAAAGCTTTTTCAATATAGAGTCAGGTTATTTCTTTTTCCTAATGTAATAAAAGGTGCGACTAAACCAGTGCTATCGGAATTCCTGCATGTTGAAATAGTTACTAAGAATAACTTTTTCTTTTCAGCTGAGCTTGAGCTGAGAATCTGATCTGGAAGAACATTGCAGGGTTAAACTGGACAGGTTTGTTGCTAATCTGAAGACACAAACAGAAGAAATCAGGAAGACTCAAACAAGGCATTATCAGAGCTCACCTCATCGAGAGCAGGAGCTGTGTTCTTTACCTCCTTTTTGCAATGGACAGAGTGTGAGCTGACCTGCCTCTTGTAGGAGCAGGAACTTGTTTGCATGTACAGCCCAACTTTTTTTTTTCCCCCTTGAAAGCCTTTCACTCCTCCCTAGCACTTGCACAGCAGACTCTGGGAAATGATCTGAATTGCAGGTGCAAACCAGGGAGAGAGTCGGGTATTAGTTTGGCAAACACCTGAACCACCTTGAAAAGGGAGTACCCAGCCTTGTCGGTGTCCCTGGCTGCTGACCTTCCCTCCCAAGTTTTCAAAGGTCCATCCATTCTATGGAATGTATTTTGCTACATTTCTGTTGGTGGGTTTTTTGGCCTCAGCTCACTGGTCCTTTTTGACAAAATGGTACCGAAGGAGTTAAAGGTAGCATTCCTTTCTTGTGCCTCCCTATCAAGCTCATGAGATAAGAAGACCAGAAGTGTCTGTATGGGGTAAAACAAGGGCAAAATATATTATGGTGGCTCTCCAGCAGGCTGTGCAACAGCCCTCAAACTTTGACACTGCAAGTGTGTCACCCCTCACTGCCCCTATTCCTGGGGGGCCAGGGAGGGGGAATAGGTAGGTACTTTCAAGAGCTGGAGGTCCTGCACCTTGTTTACAAAGGTTTCTCTTTCTTTATTCGTAAAAGCTAGCATGGCTTTTTGTTCCTTTTCCAGCTAATGGATTTTGTGGCACTTCACTTGGTTAATCAGTTAGCAGTGATTAAACAGGGGAAACGTGAACGACAGCCTGAGTAACGTCATCGTTTTTTCTGCGCAGTGAAAGGAGTGGTTTGCCAGAGAAACCTCTTGCGAAATAACTGAGAATTGATCTTTAAGCACAGAATGTACCATGCTTTAAAATCCCCTTGTACCTGCTCACTTCCTCCACGGGCTGAAGTGGAGTTGTTGAAGGGGTTACCGTTCCCAGACAGCTCCCAGTCACCATCACGGCTGTCTTCTGCCAAAGGTTACCACCTCCCCTATCTACCTGTAAGCTGCTCATTCAATCTCTCTCGAAATTGTTTTGGCCAAAGTCAACCAGAGCAGCTTAAGCAGTTTAAATAGGAGAAGTCAGCTGCACTGGTTTGTTTTGGCTATACTGGATTAGGGGAAACCCAAGATGGGAGGTGAGTTGATGACCTTTTCATGGACAGCTTCAGGGGCAGGGGGTAGTTTGGCCTAACCTGCTTTCAGAGCAGACTGCTACCAACAGGGTATTTAAAAGTAGAAGCGTTGCCGAGATACCCACACTGAAACGCAGCATTTTTAGATACCACTAGCTTTGCTGGCACATAGAGCAGGGCACAGCAGTAAGAGCAGCACAGGTTTGTAGGAGAGCAGCAATGGGAACATGAGGATTTGGAAACCAGTACGAATAGAAGATGTCAGACTGAGCATGGGGAAAGAGCAGAAGAGGGAGAAAAGTTTGTAGCTGGAGATCACTGGGAGATCACAGAACTCAGTCTAGAGAGGAGGAATTTGAGTAGCATGAGAAATGCAGGCATCAAAGATGTAGGGTGCCAAGTAGCAATGCTCAGGGGAAGACAGTGAATTGAGAACACCCGGTATCTCCCTATTCTTCCCTTCCTTCCCTTCCATGTGTGCATC